TCCTCCCCTCAAGTTCCCCGTGGGGGGGGGGGGGGAGCACTTACACACATCCAGAAGACCTGAGCTGCAGTCAAACCTAAACCCCACGTCCACCATGGTGCTTCTTTAAGTGCATAAATATCCCTTTTTACTGTTTCCCTTCATGTCAGCCACTCTCTGTTAACCTGTGTGTAGCTATCTGCTCTTACCAGTTGACAGCTCTCCTTTGCAAAGGGCTGAGCACGTCTAGATAAAGAACTAAGTATTAATTTTCCTTATAATATATCCCCTGTAATAAAGAAGTTACTGAATTTTCCTGTAAAACTAAATACTTTCATACCAGAGTATGTCCAAATCTACCCACAGTGAGCAAGGGATTACCCTGTCTCCTATTCTGGAGATACTGCTGGCCATATCAGCATGCGGGAATATGGGTTCCAAGTTGGATAACGATTTTGCTGCTGGGGAGCTGGATACTCCACCGGCTGGTCCAATGAAATGCCAGTTTAAGCTACTGTAATTTTAAAATAAATGCAACTGACTGAGTTTGAGGTCAGAAGAAAGATAGCAAATGCCTGAATATAAGTTCCACCAGGCGCAAATGCGGTCCAGGGGACGGAGGTGAATGAGAAAGCCGCAATAGGGCTCGTGTGATTCTCTCCCCTGTAAAATGGCTTGCCCTCATTTTGCAAGCCAGTGGGCCAGATCTTTAGCCAACGTAAATAGCCCTCAGTGAACCAAGCTGACTACAACCAGGTAATAATCTGATACACAGCTGTGAGTTAGGTAGCTACTTTTGGAAACGCTGTGCTGTATTTATTTAAATATCCTGGGCTATTTCAGGCAACAGAAATGATTTTCTGGAAGAAGAAACTATTGAAGCAACACTTCTGTTGACAAAAGTAGTCATTAGTCTATGAGATGCTTTGAAACGCTGCTCTTAACTCTACGGAAATGTTACTGACAGCTTGTTTTACAGTCCGGATACCCACTGAAGCCCAGGTAATTATACACGGCCCCCCTTGGTACCTTTATTTTGATTGCCTGCGCGATAGCACGAGCGAGCAAACCCTCAGCTGCGTTCGCGCTCGTACAAAGACCGTGTGGCGCGCCGCTTCTCACGTCTGCGCGCGAGTGGGATTAACACGCAAATTTGCTTACAGGAACGTTTTCATGGATTGTCATTTATGCCATTTACTAACCATTCACCTGAAGGACGTGGGTCTGATACAGCTCTTCATAGCCGTAGGCATGACAGGTGTAATTGCCCATGTGAATAGTTGTTACCTTGGTGATGTAGAGGGAATCGTCTTCTCCAAAATCCTGTACGTAACAAAAGACAGGAAAGGAAAGGCGCCTTATTATTTAGTAAAAATATTTTAAACGCCACATGAAGGGAGACTACCTGTTCAGTGGTTTTGATAGCATCGCAGCTTGGAAACACAGCTTGAATTTTGAACAGTAAGTTTTAAAGTTCATAAATCAACACGCAGGGAGAAAATGAGCGGCAATTTAAGAGTAAGGCAAAGTAACTCGTCTGAGAACGTGAACTTTAGTGCTGGCTGCTAACAAGGTGGTCTTTGCACAGAAAAAAGATGGCAATCTCCAGCTGTTTAATTTATGGGGGAAATAATACCTGCGCGTTAACCTCAGACGCATAAAATGCTAACTTCTGGGTGGGTGAAGGTTTCCTTAATCTATGCGGGTTCTTAGAAAATGCACCGTAACCTTGAGACCTGATGAGAAAGAACTGAAACGGTCTGTCACTTATCTCAGACAATATCCTAGGCAGGAGACAAGGAAGACGACAAAAAGCATTTTCTCAAAGAAACTTGTTTTGGTCTGTAACTGCTTGACAAGTATCTTTCTTTATCCCCTTCATCTTCCTGAATCTGCTCTTGCATTACTTCAATTTTTGATTATAGATGGGAAGAATTTGAGTTAGTAGAGAGGTTTTGGCACTTGAATATGTTGTACAAGTGCCCTGCTTAAGAATTTGTTTCAAATTATACTTAACAGAACCACAGCACTGATGGGTACATGAAGCAGCTTCTCTTGTTACTCCATTAATGTTCAGACTTCTGCAGCTCCGGAATGTTTGTACTTCTATGCAAACCCAGAAGGATACATTTAAAAAACAGTTAATGGGCTTACAGAATGGGTTTTCTTTAATTAGCTCCATGCGTGAAGCACGCTAAACTAAACTCTTTGCAGAATTTCACTGACAAAGTACGGTAAAATTCAACTGAGAATCAGGGCGGCACAAACCCGGTACAATAGGGTGAGCGTTGAAGAGTGGTTTTGCTCGTGAAAACCCAAGGATCATTTTTCCAGTTTCCACTGTGCAGGTAGAAAGCCAGCCTGCAGCCAAGGGGTGTACTGGGAAAGCCGCCCGCAAAACCGCACCTGCTGCCACCCTGGTCCAGCACGGCCACCAGGAACGACATGGAAGCGCAGCACTGTAGCGCGGTGAGGAGGTGACAAGTCACAGCCAGGGTCTTCCAGCACAACTTGATCGAACCTACCAGGGTGGACGGCATAAAATAGGAACGCAAATTTCACATTGGGTAGATGTGGCACTTGGGGACATGGTTTAGTCTAGTCTACCCTTAATTGGTTTAAAGTGGACTTGGTAGTGTAGGTTAATGGTTGGACTGGATGATCTTAAAGGTCTTTTCCAACCTAAACGATTCTATGATTTGCTCTGCTGGTTGGGAGTCAAGAACTTGGGTCCCAGTTGTTTTGTGATGGAGAAAGGGAATCCATGCACAGAGGTGCTGATGCCGCTCCCTTTCCCTGCTGCCCCCATGGCAGGTCCAATGCCACAAGGAAGCATCCTCATCCATGCTGTTACTGCCAAACCCCCTGCCAGGTGCTCAGAAATTATGAGCAAGAGTTGTTTGATCATCGGATGGGCTGCTTTCTAAACTAGAATAATTTGGCACTCCTTACATCTTACTTTTCCCGCCTCTTCAGGGTGCATCTGCTTTACAGTTCGAAGCTTTCCTTTCCAGCCATGACGGTTTGAACATTTTTTGAAGGAAGCTGCGATTCTGAGGCAGACTTGCAATGCCAGCTGGCACCCTTAAAGGAAAGTACAGAGTAGCCCCTCTCTTGCAGTATGGGATTGATCTGGCACTACTTCTGCTGCCTCTTGAATCTTCTCCAATAACTTCTGTCTGGCACCAGAGAAACGTCTTCGTGCCTCTCCCCGCAGTGGCAGGCCAGCACGGGCAGGGGGGAAGGGAAGTTTGAGAACTTGCCTAGTTTTTAGACATGTTACAAGGCCAGTTGGGAGGGAGCGCTGAGAAATACAGAGTTTAGAGGCAGGACAACGACCCTTCCCAAAGCACAGACCTTGACCCGAGAGGGTACAGACATAACCACCCCGGCTCTGCCATCTGCTACCCTAAGGCACGTGCTGCCCCAATGTGCAAATGTATGAACAATTACAAAGAATGAGAGTAAATCCACAGAAGATCCTGAAATTCATTATCTATAATCAAAAACATCTCAGATATTGTCGCCACCTTGGCCGTCAGGCAGATTTGGCATCTACACTATGGGATAAGCTGGTTAAGCTACCCAACACGTTACTACAAATACCTACTCAAAAATTCCCATTTCAAGCATTTGCCTGTTTTCTGGTCAGCTAGATCTTTCCTGCCAGAAAGCAAAGATGCATGAGTAACTGCAAATAGAAAAGATATCAACCCTGTTCGAATGATATTTGCATGAGAGAGAGAAAATGCTTGCAGTAGAGGGGGCTTAATAACAGCTTTTAAAGTTAATTCCAAAGCAACTCAAATTGAGTTTAGATCAATAAAAGCAGCATGGCTACTTTTATGGAATGATTTATAAGGAGTTGCAGAAAACCAGGACAATAAAATCTTCTCTGTTTTAAGTATGTTGCTTCCTTTAAGATATCTCAGAAAAATATTATGAATGTTCGGTTTGTGCTCTGTAATTGTCTTTTTATGGGTGATCTGTTTTTTCCAATGCATACAAATGTATTAATATAAGTATAGACCCTTACAAAAACAAACTCATGCAAGATTATATTATTATTCTCTTCCTCTCCAAATGCCTTTTTTCTTGTAAAGAGAAGCTTATATTGGTAAAAGCATGGTTTATGACTTTATAAAACTATCTTCTGACTTCCAGCACGTAAAGAAGGTTATCAAATACAATTTAGGTTAACACCGTATCATTTAGGTCAGGCATAGAAGGAATTATCTGCCCTGTATTAGAACTTGCGCGTGCACACAGTAAGTTCACGTAAGAGTACAAGATTATTAAGAATGACCAGTATCAGATGTGGGAAGAAAACAAGTGATTAGGAAATTTAGGTTCAATACTGAACCTTTTGTTGCTACAAAAAGAATAGTGAATTCGCTAACAAATTAATGACTCTTTCTGTGGGTTTATTTATTGCAGCTCACGGTTTCTCCTTATGTTTCCCTACGGATATAATTAGTACATTAGGATTTCACAGTTACATTTTATATATACGTGTGCATTCTTATGCACAAGCACTTTCTGCGTATATTTTATAAAAGTATATTTGGAAGTGCTGTAAAAAACCCAAGCCCGAGAGCGTTAGGAAATGATGACTGATTGCTTAATGGCCTCTAACTCCGCATCTTACACTCACCTCAGCCAGAGTCCTGCAGCGCAGCGGGAAGCCGTCGCAGGCAGGCAGTGGGAGCCCTGCTGTTTGGGCTGTTTCCCACACCCCTCCGTACTCCGCTGCCTTGGGGAGCTCCCAGGAGCTGCTCCGGTGTGCCTCTTGCCACTGCCACTGTATTAACCGGGCTGTAAGTTAACGCTGACAGTGCTTGGCTGCCACTGGGGTTTGCTGGGAAGCAGTCCTCGACAGGTTTAACACAATTTTATCAAGCTGAGAAGGGAGGCAGGTCAATAAGGACTTTTTGCCTCTCAAAAACGTGTACCAGGCAAGTGGGAGCTCTTTGAACAAAAGTTCTCAGAAATTGGTTCGCACAAAACATTTCTAGAGACTCGGGTGCTGAGCCCCATCCCTCCACCCGAACACGCACACGTAAGCTTGCTGGGAGAACTGGCAGGGGAGAGGATGGAGTGGCCAGAGGGAATGGGAAGAATTCACGCTGGAAAAAGGCAGAGGAAACGTTTCACACGCTTGGACTTTCTTCAGATGGCTCTTCCTTGCAAAGCCAGCTTTCCAAGCCACCACGAGCCTGAAAGCAGTCAGAGGGAACCATAAACACCTATAAAACGGATGTAACGTAATTCTTCTCTCCCTAAAACGATCCCATCTCTAAAGCAGAGGATCTCAGGGCTGCCCAGGAGTCTCAGTGAGCGCTGCACGCCCCCGGGAGCTGGGACTGCCTGCCCCTGCCCCTGCCCCAGCAATGCCCAACCGGTCACTGAAAAGGCATTTTGATGTATCATCCCGCAAAAAAGGATAGGCAACCAGGAGAAAGGCAAGGAAGTAACTTCTGGGACATGGTTTTCCTCCTTTACCACTGAAGGGGCATTTTCTTGTGAAGAGGAAGAAGCAGAAGCGATGAAAATGTACGAACAAGAGGCAGAAACCACTCCAACCCCACAAACTGATGAGCCTTGCATCAAAGTGGCCAGATAAGGATAAGGTGTTCATCACCTCTATTTTATGAATTTCATTATAAAATAATGTTACACGTTCGGGTAAAAATAATAATTCAGCAAGCTGTGCTTATAATTTCTCATAATTGATAAGGTCGACCAGTGGCAGATGATAAGTTGACTTCTCCAGCAGTTTGTCTCATGTTTTCTCTCCCTTTTTTGGAATAAAAAGTTCTCTGCCCTTCCTGAGCTTCTTTTATGTCTTGCAGTTACCCTTCAAATAAAGGACTGATTAAGTGACCTCAGAGTATGTTTTAACTTTGCAAGATTAAAAAAAATGCAGCACCCTGCATTTTAAATTGATAAGAGCTCAGTAATCTAAAAAAATAGAAAAAAAAGGTTGCTACTGCACACAGTCAATTTGAAAAAAATAACAAAGCAGATCCTAGAAAATGGATATGCACTTTTTTTTTGGTATCGTATTTCCTTTCCATCACTACTGATTATGCAAGACATCGGTCTCTCCAAACAGAAGATTCTTCATATTTATTTATCCCATTATTCCCTTCTAATGCATTCCCTGGTCATGCAATCTGCCACGGCATGGAGACACCGCGCTTAGAAATGTGTAAAGCATTGCATATTGCTTGTAAATCTCGTTCACATTCTGTCTCCAGTGAAATCCAATATGTGATTGTAATGCCACAAATCTCCTGCTCTGACACCCAGGAACGCAGCCGGCGGAGAGGGAACCCACATTAACCCGGGGCTGCCGAGCCGGCGGCGATGCCGGAGGGTGAGGGCACCGCCCGCCCGCCTTTTTTGCCCATTTCAGATGCTTTTTCATCAAGCTTTCGAACATGTGGTGGGGTTGTTCCAGAATGGAAACATATTTAAAACCCTTTAAATTTTTGGGAAAGAGGATCACTTGTTTTCCAGGAAGTCTTAGTTTGAGGAGTAATTAACGTAGAGTAGATTCAGGCTTATTATTTTTTTCAGGATAACTTCCAGCTATTTGAGGAAAAAAAAAGACTTGCCTTATAGCTATAAATAGGAAGAAGGAACAGAAAAACAAGTCCCAGGGACACAAAACCAGACGAGCTCCCCGTCTCCCCAGCCCTCGGCACACGTCACCGCAGCACGGCACTATGGGGTACACGCTCCCCGGGCAGCAGCCAGATTTTAAACCTACACAGTTGATTTTAAACCACACCAGTGAGGTACTGAACGCGCCTAATATAGGTTGGGGGCGAGTCCCAAAGACAGCCGATGCCCCCTCCCCATGTTGACTTAAAAGTGTCCACAGCTGAAATAACGACAGAGGGAATGGAGCTCCCCGAGTGGTTTCTTCTCTTAGGAGAATCCACGGGTTGCTGCGATTTCTTCCTAAATAATGATAATGATGATGATGATGATGATGATGATGATGA